CGCCAGCCTTCTGGTTAGCAGTCAAGTGCCTTAGGCACTATGCTATCAGAGCTCCTGTTAGATAGGTGGAGATAAGTATTGATTTGGGTGAAGAGAAGGGCAGTGTACCAAATGTGAGTGATCAACATGGTGGCATTGAGGAAGAGGAAGACATAGACAGGTACATGCAGACAACAAAGATGAACCCTTTTGCACATACAGTACTGTGTTGTCAGTGAAGGCAGACATGGGTATGCCGGTGGATAGATGGGTGGACAGGCTGAATTATTAGGTATGTCTATGAAGCAGGGAGTGTACCCAAGACTATGTATAGGGCTGGCAGACAATGGTTCTACAAGTGTATTTGTATGTTCTGCAAGAATTCCCAGGGGTGTAGTAGAGCTGACAAAGGATAAGGTTGTAGTCACTTCTTGGTCACAGCCAGCTACCCAGAGGGAGCGAGTAGTTGAACCTGTGGGCTCGGGACCATAGTTGCAGGGACATCAAGCTCAGTTGGCATAACATACTACATAAAACATTGTTCCACCTCCTGCTTTTGCAAGTAGTAACTGGGGTCTTAAGCTTGCAAGCAGCCATTTAGATGCAATAATGGGTTTCTCCTCATCCAGAGCAAAGAAGAATGAAGAAAACCAAAGATTCATGGAAAAAATTAGTCCTTGTGACTGGTAACACCATGCAATCCTCAGCCTATACGACTATAAGACCAGAAGAACTAGATGATGCCCGGCTACCACTGTCAACCACTCAAGAGGGGGATCTATGTAGGAGATCCTGGATAGAGAGGGAGAACAATGTGGAACAAAACTCAAAATCATTTGGAAAATAAAAAACAAAAAAGGGGACCAGGTTTGCTGGTCTGATAGAGCCTGGTGGAACCACTGAGACTATGGTTCCTAGCTGCCCTTCAGGTCTGGAATTGAACCCGTACCTGTGGTTTCCAGCCAAACAAAAGACAGGCATATCAATTGAGCATTTACCTGAGTAGATACACTCCTTGGAGAGAACAATCATGGGAGAAAGAAGGGCTGTTTATGCACAGGGAGACAGCTCAGGGGGAAGGGGTGCATGTAGAGATGAATACAGGGAAGATGTAACTATTGGGAGTAAGTGGGAGGGGAGCTGTTGCATTGGGGTAAATTGTAGTCATTGTCATCAGACAACATGTGTGTGAACTGCTATATGGTAAGTGAATTTGCTCTGTAAACTTTCACCCAAATCACAATTTAAAAAATAAAAAAAGAGTATGTATACTGAGCTCATTAACCCTTACACCACCAGGGCATGCTATTGATAGGACTCCTGAAAAGGGTTATCATGGGAATCAGAGCAGGGTTACGAAGGTAGCATGAGATCACTAAAGAGTTTAGATGTTTGGCTAAGAAGTTTAAGCATTTTTTATTCATAAATGTAAGCCATGGATTTTTTAGTAGAGAAATTGTAGAATCAAAGCAATACTTTAGACAACTTAGTTGGAGACATTATTCAGTGCTGTGTATGGACCAGGTTCTGTGGTGATTTCTAGGAAATTAAAAGACCCAGCCCTGGCCTTAAGGACTTCACAGTTCAGTGGGAAGACGTGTGTGAATAAAAATAATGATTCTTTAATATAATTGCTATGATAGAACATGTTATGGGTACACTAGGAATTTAGGAGAGGATATTCATAAATCAGCTAGGAGTCACAAAAGAGATAGTGTTTGATTCCAGGCAGACAAATCTGGGGAAATAATTCCAGGCAGAAGAAATAATATATTTTTTATATTATTTAGCAAATTGAGGTCATTGTATGGTTTGGGAGCAACAAATAATTAAGTGTTGTTAGAAGTTTAAATGGATTGGTAGGCAGTACCTGATCACGAAGGCCCTTATCTCATGCTAAGCAGTTTAGATTTTATACTAAAATCAGCAAAGAAGAGAAGTCCTTGAAGAATTTTAGCAGAACATTGACACGACTTCCATTCCTATGTGGAGAACGGATTGAAGGGAGGGCTAAGACTTGACTACAGGCAGGGGAATTGCTAAGGAGGTCATTGGAGTAGTACAGTGGGGAGATGATGTCCCAAATTAGGGTTGTAGTATTAGTTGCACTGTCAGGGCTCCTTACTAGTAGGGCAATAGAGAGTTATTTAAAGGCTTACAATGAAGATCAGGAGACTAGTTAGCAGGCTCTGTAATAGTCTTGTTGACAGATAATAAGGGATTAATTTAAGAAAGTGGCAGTGGGAATAGAGAAACAAGTAATATATATATCAGTAATATATATATGAGCTATTGTAGAGAGAGAACTTGGGCCTCAGGATTATTCAGATACCAACTTTTTCATGAAATCACTTACTTCATAATGGATTGGTTCTTCCTCTTAAGTTCCCATATAACAACTACATACCTATTTGGTGTTTATTCCACTAGGCCTTATGTTTTAGATAACTATTTATGTGTCTATCTTCCACTAGAATTGTAAGTTCCTTAAAAGCAAGAACCATATTTTATATATATTTCCCTTCTTTATGTGCTTTTCACATAGTTAAGTATGTAATGAATGTGAGTTTTTTTTTTTTTTTTAGG